GCTTAGCACCTGGCAGCACTGACCCTGACAAGTCACCGCAGGGCACCGACACCTTCTCACGCAGGCACACGCAGTCTCCCCACTTCCAGCACCAGCCACCCCAGTGGAGCGACAGAAGCTGGGAGACTCAGAGCAGAGCACGAATCCAGAGATGAACCGCTGTGCAGCTACTGTGATGGTGGTGGTGATGCAGAGAGATGTTTGCTGCGCTCTTCTCTGAAACATGAGGGTGCGGGAGAAAGATGCTTCCTCAAATTGTCAGACATGAGAATACTTTCCATGAAAAAGCAGTGAGGGAAAACTGTGTTTAGCCCTCAGAGGAAGGAGGCAGAGGCCCGTGAGATGCATATCGACTTGCTGCAGAATCCAGAAGAAACTGAAATAGTAAATGGGTGAAGGGAATAAGACCCCAGATAGCTCTGGAAAGTATTGTGCTAAGCAGATTGAATGATGGGCTGTGTCCTTTTCTAAGTATTAGAGTACTTGTATACCTTGTGAAACAATAAAAAGCACCATTACCCCATCTCCAACCCTGAGCAGTGAATCAGAAGAGTCTGAAATATCTCCTTCCCAAACAGCTCCATCCCCAGTTAGCAGAGAGAAGGGGCCTGACAGAGGGCACAGGTTGATTCTTCAGCTTTAGCTGCTGAGCATTGATGAATTGAGAGAATTAAATTTACAAGTCTTTTTTCCTCTTTCCAGGCACTTTGGTGTAAACAGAGTTTCAAGTCAAAAGGCTCCAGACTGCCAGAGCGATGTTTGGAGACTTGGACTATGACATTGAGGAGGATAAGCTGTGAGTACTTTATTTCCCTTTCTTGACAATTAAATATCAAAGAACATGTTTACACTACAAAGGGACAGCTGCAGCTCTGCTGTGGTTCTATGGATACTTTTTATAGTGACTGAAAGGTTTTGTATCACTGTAGTAAATCCACCTCTTAAAGAAGCAGTAGCTAAGTTTGATGGAAGAATTCATCTATCAGCCTAACTCCATTTACAGGCAGTCCCCGGGTTACGTACAAGATAGGGACTGGAGGTTTGTTCTTAAGTTGGATCTGTATGTAAGTCGGAACTGGCGTCAGCTGCTGCTGAAACTGATCAGTTTCAACAGCGGCTGAATCTGGACGCCAGTTCTGACTTACATACGGATTCAACTTAAGAAACCCAGGCGTCCCCAAGTCAGCTGCTGCTGAAACTGATCAGTTTCAACAGCGGCTGAATCTGGACGCCAGTTCTGACTTACATACGGATTCAACTTAAGAAACCCAGGCGTCCCCAAGTCAGCTGCTGCTGAAACTGATCAGTTTCAACAGCGGCTGAATCTGGACGCCAGTTCTGACTTACATACGGATTCAACTTAAGAAACCCAGGCGTCCCCAAGTCAGCTGCTGCTGAAACTGATCAGTTTCAACAGCGGCTGAATCTGGACGCCAGTTCTGACTTACATACGGATTCAACTTAAGAAACCCAGGCGTCCCCAAGTCAGCTGCTGCTGAAACTGATCAGTTTCAACAGCGGCTGAATCTGGACGCCAGTTCTGACTTACATACGGATTCAACTTAAGAAACCCAGGCGTCCCCAAGTCAGCTGCTGCTGAAACTGATCAGTTTCAACAGCGGCTGAATCTGGACGCCAGTTCTGACTTACATACGGATTCAACTTAAGAAACCCAGGCGTCCCCAAGTCAGCTGCTGCTGAAACTGATCAGTTTCAACAGCGGCTGAATCTGGACGCCAGTTCTGACTTACATACGGATTCAACTTAAGAAACCCAGGCGTCCCCAAGTCAGCTGCTGCTGAAACTGATCAGTTTCAACAGCGGCTGAATCTGGACGCCAGTTCTGACTTACATACGGATTCAACTTAAGAAACCCAGGCGTCCCCAAGTCAGCTGCTGCTGAAACTGATCAGCGGCTGGACCGGGAGAAGCTTTTCTCGCCCCGGAGGACACGGGTGGCAACACACCGCCCGTGAGCTCCGGGGCGAGAAAAGCCCCGTTCGTAAGTGCGGATCCGACATAAGTCGGATCCGCGTAAGTCGGGGACTGCCTGTACTTTGGGGAGTAGTTCAACCTAACTATTCCACAGGACTTGAAATTTTTCATAGCTGTAAGCAATATAGCTAGGTAAACCTAAATTTTAAGTGTAGACAATGCCTAAGGAGCTGCAACAAGGACCTGATCAAAGCAGGTAGAGTTGCTCACTCCTAGTGATGTGTATTGGAGATCTAGGTTCATTGTTCAGTCTTGAGGTCTTGCTCCCTATAGCTAGTGGGGTGGAGCCTTGCAGTGGCGGTGAGCAGAAGGGAAATCTTTCTGTTGCTCAAAATGATTCTTCCTATTTTACTGATTGCACAGCACTGCTGATGTGTTCTAAAGGGGTGCACTCTGCTAGGAGGGAAGTATGAAGTCGAAAGAAATGGTGGGAGTGTGTATAATCCTTAGGCCCATGACAAGCACATGGAGTTCCCCCCGCATGACAGCACTAGAATTTTTATGGAAATAAAAGGTGTGTGTGTGGGGAGGGGGGGATTCTTTGTTTTGCAAGAAGTTCTCACTGTCAGTCATATCTCATCCCTACATATTTGTGTTGTGTATTTATTTACTTAACTTTTGCACAGAGATGTGAAAAAATAGCCTCTACAATATTTAGACAATATTTAAACATTGTATGATAGGATATCTCTATTCCTCATATAAACTCTGAAAAAGATGCCTTGGGAGTTCTCTTTCTCTATTCCCAGTAACAGAAGACAGTTTTGATCACAGCATTGGATCTGCTCACTAGTCTACTTTCATCACGTTTAATCATTAGCCTCTTGTTCAACTTAGTGATTTCAAATAAACCTATTGAAATTATGTTTAAATAAAGTCCTGCCACTCTGAGCTGGAAGGCAGAACAGCAGCAGTAATGTAATTAATTCAGAGGAGACATATCTAGCATACTGTCACATTATACATTTTAGCTCTGGCGTGAAGATACAGCTATTTCAACTTGTGTCAGTTATCATTTTCCTCTCTATATTGTTCTAGTGGGATCCCCACCGTTCCTGGAACAATAACCTTGAAGAAGGACTCGCAGAATCTGATTGGGATCAGTATTGGGGGAGGAGCACAGTACTGTCCCTGTCTCTATATTGTTCAGGTGGGCACTCATGGAAGAAGAGACTATTATGATTTGTCCTTGTAAAGCCATGCTAAGCTTGACAGATGGAAACTGAGGGGAAGATGGAGAATCTTACTTCATACTCTGACAAAAGGGGAAAATGTATCTTCTTTCGTTTCCAGCAAATAGAAGTTTCTCACACTAGCTGTGAATAGTTCTGGAAGGATAGGGTTAAAGCCCCTGAATTCACCCACCCACCTGAGAATCAGCAGAGTCCTGGGAGCATATTAAAATTCAAAGGGGTCAGAGAGGGGAATGTCACATGTGATATACTAGATCAGTGGTTCTCAACCAGGGGTACATCTATTTTACAGGTCTTCTGTGGGTATATTAACTCATCTACATGTTTGCCTAGGTTTACAACAGGCTACATAGTAAAGTTGGCACAAACTAACATTTCATATAGACAAGTACTTGTCTGTGTGTGTCTATATGGTATACACTGTATTGTAAATACAATATTTATTTTCTGGTTGATTTATTTTTTAATTATGCGATAAAAATGAGAATATAAACAATTTTTCAGTAATAACGTGTCTGCACTTTTTTATTTTGATGTCTGATTTTGTAAGCAGGTAGTTTTTAAATGAAGTGAAACTTGGGGATACCAGATAAATCAAACTCTTGAAAGGGGTATAGTAGTCTTGAAAAGCTGAGAACACCTGTACAGGTTGAACCTCTCTTGTCTGGGACTCTCTGGCCTGGCAACATCCATGGTCTGGCAGGATCACGGATATTGCTGGACCAGAGAGCCCCTGGACCTGCGGGCTGGGTGGCCATGGGGTTGGCCCCGACAACCCTGGGACAGAAGAGCCGTGGCAGCCCTTGCAGCCCCGAGGAGTGGAGCTCTAGTGGCTCTACAGCAGTGGATCTGTGGCAGCTCTGGCGTCCCTGGGATAGCAAAGCTGCAGAAGCCCTGGTGGCCCCAAGGAGCAGAGCCCTGGCAGGTCTGAGGAGCAGAGTCGTGGCTGCCACAGCAGCCCCAAATCTCTCCTGCTGATGCTCTGAGCCTTGGCAGCGCAGGAGCTGGGAAGCCCCGGAATAATGGAGTCCAATAGCCCCAGGTAGCGGCGCCCCGGCAGCTCGAGAGCCATAGCAGCCCTGGCATCTCAGAGGTGTGGCAGTTTCGGTGTCTAAGAGCAGTGGTGGCCCAGCCATGGTGGCCCTGGGACAGTGGAGTCCCAGCAGTCTTTGGGCTTGGAGCTGTGGCAGCCCTAGGGTGAGCAGAGCCAGATGACTCTGGGACAGCAGAGCTGCAGTGGTGGGGACTGTTCAGTGGAACTGGGAGCTGGGGTCAAGGGAGCTCCACTAGGTCTGCTGACAGACCCTGGGAGAGCCCAGAGTCCTGTCAGCAGAGGGATGGAATTGACCTCCCCTGGTCCGGCAATTCCCTAATTTGGGACCAGTCAGGTCCTGAGGGTGCCGGACCAGGGAGGTACAACCTGTACTAGATTTCAAGAAATCCTTCCCTAGATGATGCACAAAGTAGGGATGAAAGGCCCCAGAAGGAACTGAGTACTTAGATTTCAGATCCCTATGGGATATCTAAGGGTTTTGGGTCAGGAAGAGAAGAGAAATAGAGGCTGCCTCATAAATAAGACTAATTGCACTCCTCTCTGGCTCTGTATTTCCTCTGCTCTTCCTCTTCTTTTTTAGGTGTTTGATAACACTCCAGCAGCCCTAGATGGAACTGTGGCGGCTGGCGATGAAATCACAGGAGTGAATGGGAAGTCAGTCAAAGGGAAAACCAAAGTGGAGGTGGCCAAAATGATACAGGTGGTAAAGGTAAGAAGTAGGAAAGGTTCGGTGGTAAGGTTGGGTCACAGATTATATATAAACTGTTGTCCTTAGTAGAGAAGGCCCCTGCTGTTCAGTTCCAGAACCACAGCTCTGGCTTTGCTATTTCACCCAGGGAGAAGTGACAATTCACTACAACAAACTCCAAGCCGACCCAAAGCAGGGCAAGTCCTTGGATATTGGTAAGTCATGTTGGTTTCTCTCCTTCGATATGCGGGCAGGTAGTGAGGAGATCCCGGCCAAAATCAAATTTTGTTTCAGTATTTGTTTCTATTTTGTCTCCTTTAAATGAACATAAGCTAAAACTTGTGTGTGTGTTTTTTTTTAAAGCAGTCCTTCCCTGTGTCACTAATAATACCTGATTATTTCAAATTAAATTACCGTTATCCTTTTTGCTCTTGCTTGCTTTCTGTATTGTGTGCAGTTTGGATAGTGAAACTTAACTAATCAGTTTCACTTATTGTCTTTTATTCAGTTGGCCCTTACTGCTGTATTTGGATTTTTGAGAGTACACGGAAAGATGTCAGTCCAAAACCCATGTTAATCTATTTTAGAAAACAATTATATTTCTCTCCATAGTGGATTTTGTATAACTTTTTAAAAAACAAAACTTTATCTTTTAAATTTAATCTACTTGAGTGTCCCCTTAAAACATGACCACGTTCCCAGCATTCTGGAAAAGCTGAAAAGGGCATTTATTTCTTTGGATTTGCTTTTCTTTTCATTCTTCGCTGTTGGTAAAGATGCTGACAAAAGAAACTCAAACAAGAGCAACTGAAAATGCACAGGGGCTGAGAAGTGGATTTTTGGGAAAAAATAAGAGTAAAGGGCCTGAGATTTATCAGAGGTGCCAAGTATCCACGACTTCAACTGACATCTCTGGAAGCTGCAGACACTCAACACCTCTGAAAATCAAGCTCTAAATGCATGTAAAGTAGTCATAGGATTCCAAAAAGTGTATAATTATCTTCAAGAATCCAAAGGGTATGGTCCCCAAACAGGGAGAGGGACTGTTCAGAGACTTTTAACTAAGAGTCATGAGATTAAAATTTAACCACAGGGAAATTTTTGGCTGAGCAATAAACCTTACATGCTTACTCTCACACTGTTCTGCTAACTTCGTTGGATTTAATCAGTTGAATAAAGTAAGCAAGATGTGGCCTTGAATGTCAGAACATATTTCTTATGTGTCTTTAGGCTGTGTCTTCCAAAGGAAGTTGTGAAACCCCTGTTGCCTGGGGTATATAGGACTTGAATAGAACACATATTGTTCAGAATATGCCTGCATTGGCCCAAGTTCAGATCTTCCCTGCATCTAATTTCTGTAGTATTCTCTTTCTGTTCTCTGCTCAGTCTCCTTTGCACTCTGAGTTAGGCTCAATCTAGCCATTTTGGTACCTGACATTTGAGAGTTTTGTTAATTGTATTCTTTGTGACTATGGAAATTGCTCTGATCCCAAGTTTGACTCTTTGGGGGGGTGTAGTTTTGAAGAAAGTGAAGCACCGATTAGTGGAGAACATGAGCTCGGGGACAGCAGATGCCTTGGGACTGAGCCGAGCCATCCTCTGCAATGGTAAGCAGCTATATAGAAAGGCATCTTCCTGTTTCCTTATTGTCGGTGTCAGTAAGCTGGTGCCCTATGAGAGGGAGTGTTTGTTAAGCTGGTGCCCAGTAGTGCTGTGGGGACAAGGGGTCTGACTAGGATAGGCACCTCTCCTAGTCCTTGCAAGAGTCACTGTCTTTCGTACTTAGCTCACAGTACAGTGAGAGATTCCTGAATGTTTTGACTGCATGGCAATGTAACCTTGTATTGCATTTTGATTCAGTAACACAACAATCATTGTGCAAAGTCAAAATAGTTATACCAACAAGCAACAGCCCTCATATCTGTTAGTGCAAGCCTGCACAACTCGGAAAGCGGCGAGAGCCATATTACTCTAAAGAAAACAGCTGCGGGCCGCAAGTAGGGATGCTCTCCCAAAAAATACCAAACACACATCTAAACATTTTTGTTGAGGAGGAAAAAAAAAACGCACTCCGTGTCTCCACTTGGCCCCCTGGCATTTGTCTCTCCTGCACCCTGCCCCTTGGTGCCTTCCCCTTTCTCCTGACCTGTCCCCCTCCCCTCAGCACAAGTCCCTTCCCCTCCCCTACTTTGCTTCTGCCTTTTTGAATCCATCGGTCGCTGGCTGTGATGTCACAACGTCACACCAGCATCCTGGCGTCTGCCGGCATCCCGCCCTTTGGCTCGCGCCCCGCCTCCTCGCAATGGAGCTGCACGCAGGCAGCCCGGCGGCAAGAATTGCCGCACTTCCCCCTCCCCGGCGGCGCTCTGCTCTTCCGCCCGTCCGACGGATCGGATGGGGCTACGCTGCCCGTAGTCAGCACGGGCCGCACAGTGAGCCCCCTGCGGGCCGCATGCGGCCCTCAGGCCATATGCTGTGCAGGCCTGTGTTGGTGTCCTTCGTCTCATTTCTTTGACTGCATTCTGACTTCAGGCATTTGTTTCAGTTTTGTGTCATGTCATACCTTTTAGTAACCCTGTCTGAAATACCCTGCCTGTAAGTGTCCCATGTGCATAATAAACCTGGATTCAAAACAGTCTCAGTGGCTGAATGGTTGTCCCTCAAAGTGATGTCAGTCACACCCAGAGAATGCAAACTGGAAGTCTCCTCTGCAGTCCCAAATAGATATGGCAGTTTTGTAGCGAGGGATGTAAAATCCTGGTTAAAAAGTTTACTGGTTAAATGGAATGTTAAATATTCCGGTTAACCAGGATCCCACGGGCCTGGCCGGGCTGGAACAGCCTGAGATGTGCCAGGAGCTGCTTCAGCCCGACCAGACCACCAGTTAACGGCTTACCTTATCCACCAGGCCAGGGTTTCCCAAATTTTTGCCATGGGGACCAGTAAATCCATTCACGAGTTTTTGGAGGATGGGTAACATTCATTTGCATATTTGCGTATTCATTAAGCAACTGATGAATATGCAAATAAGTTGTTTCTGGTCCCCTCAAAGTCCCCAGTGCCAGCTTTAGCAAAGCTTTTGATACAGTCACCCACAATATTCTTGCCAGCAAGTTAAGGGAATATGGATTGGATAAATGGGCTGTAAGATGGATAGAAAGTTGGCTAGACTAGGGTTTCCCAAACTTTTTACTTTAATTGGAACCTGTTTTTTTTCAGTACTGTTTTTTGCAACCCAAAAATATAAATGCATATTAAAAAAAAGAATGAAAAATGAATAAATTTTCACTGTTTCACCTGGCTGCATCCTCTGCCCAGCCTGCAGCCCAAAAATATAAACGCATATACAAAAAGAATGAAAAAATGAATACATTTTCAGTGTTTCACCCGGCTGCATTCTCCACCCAGCCTGGGCCAGGGCTTCAGGGACCCGGTACCTCATGGGCACTCCAGGAGGCGGGAGCAGGAGCAGATTGGGGGCAGGGTGTCTGGCTAGGAGGGAGGATGCAAGGAGGGGTCTAGGGTAGAAGTTGGACTTCCCTGGTCTGGCATCTTCCGGAACTGACTGATTCCAGATGAGGGATTTTTTTGGACCAGACACGGTCAGCGCATGCACAGTGTGCGGTTCTGCGCAGCTGGTGAGTGAGGCTTGCCACCACTTGGCAAGCCCTGTTTATTATAATTAGATGTATCAGTCTGTAGCTGCGAACTGCCTGGCTGGTAGATGTGCTCACGCTGAGTTAGTTAAGCCCCGCACTGGTTCCCCCACAACACAGCTGAGCCCTGTTTCCCTGCACCTCCCCCCAAACCCTGCAGAACTGCTGAGCCCAGCTCTGATTTCCTGCCTCTCCCTCCTTCCCCTTGAGTCTAGCCCTGGGTCCCTGGCACGTCCCTCCTCCTGCAGCCAAACTGAGCTCTGAGCTCTGCACCTCCCCCCACCCCCTGCAGCCCTGCCCAGCTCAGCCCAGCACCCCGCACCTTTTCACTCTTGCAGCCCAGCTGAGCTCTGTTTCCCTGCACCTCCCTCCAAACCCCATAGACATGTTGAGCCCAGCACTGATTCCCTGCCCCTCCCTCCTCTTGAGTCCAGCGCCGGGTTCCCAGCATCTCCCTCCTTCTGCACCCTAGGTGAGCCCAGCGGCCACCCTCCCAGCCTTGCGCCCCCCCCCCAGCATGGCACCCAGGGTCTATGGCCCCCCCTGCTCCCCTCCTTGCTATGCCTCTGCCGGGAGCCCGGAATATCCGGCTGCATTCTCAGCTCAGCCTGGCCCAGGGTCTGGGGGACCCGGCGCTGCACGGGCACTTTGGAAGCCCAGAACACTGTGGCAGCCATGCTGAGACCTGGTATTTTTTTCCCATGGACCAGTACTGGTCCCATAGTTTGGGAAATGCTACACTAGGCCACTCCAGTGGAGTGTTAACCTCCCTATTCTGTACTTCCCGTATTAAACTGCAGCATAATGTGCTGTTACACAGCTGCCACCTTCCACTCTGCATGTTGTTTCATTTGAGTGGTGAATGAAGTGATTCTCCATTAACCCTTTCATATGTTCTAAGAATGGCTAAATTATTGTGCGATTGAGGCGGTAGGTCAAATTTTAAACCTGGTTACAAGTGCAGGGAAAACAACTTTTCCGGTTACGTATGGCCTGGACTTCAGCTTCTAATAGTCAAGGAGTTCGAGACTGTCCATATGTTCAATCTCAATCCCCAAATAATAAATGAATATGTCAGGCACTGTGAGATGTCTGTCTCAGTGTTGTGGGAGGGGTGAACTGGGCATTTCTTGTGATAGTCATCAGCTTTCTCATCTGAGTGGTGCAGTAATTAACTAGCCGTTGCCCCTTCCCTCCTAATTTGTCACAGTTACTTAAACACAAGTTCTGCTTCATTCCCTCAGGATTCTGCCTTAGCATTTGTAACTCTTGTAAATAGGGCTGCCCCCTTCTGAGGGAAATGTGCTGTGTCACTGTATAACATGACTCCATCCACAACCAACGACATAACGTTGCTGGGGCCCTTTAACTAGTAGTTGGGTGCATAAGACACAACAGAGTGCTGAAAATCAGGGATCCACCCAATGAATTTCAAGTAGGGAGTGAGCCCAGTTATGAATCTCTGAATCCAGGTTGCATTTATTTTTAAAGTTTTTTCCTGGTGGGGTAAGGAGCCAGACTTTTGAGGAGGGGGGAGAGAGTATTTTCAACTGTTCATATAAAATACATGCCTGCTCCTTTCAGCCAGTCACATCCCTGTGTTCCCTTGGGGTATGTCTACACTACCCCGCTAGTTCGAACTAGCGGGGTAACGTAGTCATACCGCACTTGCAAATGAAGCCCGGGAAATTCAAATCCCGGGCTTCATTTGCAAGTGCGGTATGACTACGTTACCCCGCTAGTTCGAACTAGCGGGGTAACGTAGTCATACCGCACTTGCAAATGAAGCCCGGGAAATTCAAATCCCGGGCTTCATTTGCAAGTGCGGTATGACTACGTTACCCCGCTAGTTCGAACTAGCGGGGTAACGTAGTCATACCGCACTTGCAAATGAAGCCCGGGAAATTCAAATCCCGGGCTTCATTTGCAAGTGCAGTATGCCTACATTACCCTCCTAGTTCGAATTAGGAGGGTAGTGTAGACGTACCCTTGGACTTCAGCATCATAACCACCTGTTCTCCGGTTCTTTGTTCCCCTCTAGATGGATTGGTGAAGAGGCTGGAGGAGCTGGAGAGGACTGCAGAGCTGTACAAAGGTCAATTGCCCTCTTCTGTCAGACATGTGGGTTGGGATTGGAGGAGAGAGGATATACTCTGTGTCGGTGGGGTGATTTATATATTCTCTCCCTTTTTCCCCACCACAGGCATGACAGAGCACACCAAGAGTCTCCTTAGAGCTTTCTTTGAACTGTCACAGACACACAGAGGTAAATAGATTGGAAGAAACTCAGTCTTCAAATTTGTAGCAGACTGGCTACCCTAGCGTGGGGGAGTGGATGTCTATGGTATTATCAGATCTCAGAAGCATCAGTACTTGAACCCTGACCCACAACAAAAACTAGCTACTGTTGGAACGAGTGAGGAAGTGCTGCACTTCCTTCTGAGTCGGTTCATAAACAGTTCCCTAGCATGGTGTTAATGGGCATTGTGCTGCCATAGGTACCATCTTTCAGATGGGATATATGTGGGTCCTTGACTATTTGTAGTCTTTAAGGAACCCATGGCATCCTTCAAGAATAGGATTGTAACACTGTTACTGGCCAAATTATAGCTTGTGGAAATGATTTTTAAAATCAGACATGGAAACATCTCTCCAAATAACCCCTTTCTCCATTTATATGGATTTTTTTCTTTGCTCAGCATTTGGAGATGTTTTCTCAGTCATTGGTGTACGAGAACCACAGCCAGCTGCAAGTGAAGCCTTTGTGAAATTTGCAGATGCCCATCGCAGCATTGAGAAATTTGGGATCCGCCTATTGAAAACTATCAAACCGGTAAAGAATCAAAGTACAAGAGGGGAGGTTGGTGTCAGCATATTGGGGAAAGTGGGGGAGTGAGACCAGAAATGGAGGAGTCTGTCTTTGTGGCTCTCAAAAATTGTGTTGGGAAGAGTTAGAAATAACATTATAGAGACAGGAGAGGGATCATGTGATGATTACCTGTTGTATTCCCTACCTCTGGGGTATCTGGCATTGGCCACAGTCAGCAGACAGGATACTGGACTAGATGGACCTTTGCTCTGACCCAGTATGGCCATTCTTATAAAACTTTCTTTAAAGGAACTGTCTGGACAATTAAGACAAAGTTGAAGTTGTAAATGTATCAATAGTTTGCAGAGTTATTTGAACATAGTTGTTCAAACTTCTCCGACCGATTCCCCCCACAACTAGACTGTCACTTTCACACGTACACTCTCCAGTATGCCTGTCCTCCTCTGGGAGGCTCCACATCTGTTGATAATGTACTTCATCTACACAGTTGCTTCTGTGCTTGAGCTCTCTGATAAGACTATCAGCAAAAGAGAACATATAGTACCAATCGTGGTTCTGTGACATGGACACCCGCCCTTTTGTGAACAAGGAAGATTAAGTTAGCTCACTGCATGTAGCCATCAAGTCCTTTTAGCTCCTTTTAATGCTCTTTATTTTTCTGAGTTCTGTCACTTAATTAACATGTTTTCTCTGCAGATGCTGACTGATCTCAACACGTATCTGAACAAAGCCATTCCTGACACAAGACTAACCATCAAAAAATACTTGGATGTCAAGTTTGAGTACTTGGTAAGCTGTTCTTTCCCCCTCTCCCTCCTTTTTTCAGTTTAAACACCTGGTAGAGGTGAGGTTTCATAGAGTAAGAGCACTTGAACAAAGAAAAGACCTATTCATTTACATGGTCTTCGTTTCCTGGTCAAGAGTATTTCATACCTTATCTTCCCTAGCATTTTCTCTGGTCTCCAGGACCCAAGAAACATGCTTCAGCTTCTTCCCTCGAAAGATTATTCTGTAGCCTAATAGACCTCACAAGTAAGGGTACGTCTACACAGCAACATTATTTCAAAATAATTTAACTTCCTGCTGTGCGGACACGGAATAGTTCAAAATACTGTCAAGCTGGAGGACTTCTTACGCCGACTCCTGTAACCCTCATTGTACGAGGAGTAAGGGAAGTCAGAGGAAGAGTGCTGTATATTGAAATAAGTGCTGTGTAGACGCTCCCAATTTCAAAATAAGCTACACAATTGAAGAAGCTCAATTTGCATAGCTTATTTCAAGTGAAGCCCTGCTGTGTAGACACACCCTAAGATGCATTTCCTGGTATCCACATGACATATTGCTTCATTGTATTTAACACCCTTATTTGTAAGGGGGTCTCCAACACAGTTTACTCTCTTGGAATCTCCTGAAAATGTCCTCTGCCCAGCATTAATACCCTTCAGATAACTTGAATAATTTCAGCTAGACAACTGACCATCTTTCCTCTTGTAGCCTGATTTATAGAATATGAATAAGAATGTCCAGTTATTACTGGAAGGGTAGACAGGGTTTTGTCCTTAGCTCAGGTCCAGTATTATTCAAATATATTGTTGGGAACTCTAATGTGCACAGGTGCAACAATTGCACAATAGAAACTTTTTTATATTTACAATCAAATAATTGATTGATACATTTAGCAAAGTCACACTAAACTCTGTAAGGCAGACAGAAATACCTCAAAGTGCTTTTGAATATTCATACTTACACCATGAAATGTTAGTCATTATCTTCCTCATCACTGTCACTTTCCTCATCTTCCCCAGTGACCATCATTGTGGCCCCTCCCAAGAGCCGTAGCTCTTTCTCTTTTCTACTGCGCCGGGATGCCACTTCTTATAATATGTTACCATGCCTAATGCAAATGCAGTAGGGTTTCTCCTCTCTCTCTTAGTTGTACTTTTCCCCTTACCAATATTAAGGTGCCCTTTTTTTATAGGGTAGAATATTTATGATTTCACCCCCCCATTATCATATACGTCAGTTCATTGCCATGGCCCTCTTGTGATCAGATGTTCTGTTCAAAAGATGTTAGTTCTAGTTCATATTTCTATGGCTGGCTGGTATCTTTATGGACAGAATTCCCCTTTATATTCTGTTTCCAGTTCCCCAAAACTTATGGGTTGCCTCATGCTAATTCCTGAAGCCAATGTCTTATAAGTTTCAAACCTGTAGGTTCCTTGCATTGCTGTTGAATATAATAAAGCAGAATGTAATGTAAAGCGGTGAATATAATAGACATAGGCATGCACAGCACATTTCATTAGGGTGTGCACCCAAAGAATTTTTTAAAAATGTACTTTGACACTATTAGCCACACCCCTGACCCCCATTGGCCACACTTCTGGAGGTAACACTCTCTGGGCAAGACGGACACCTGACCAGAAGTAAAAGGTGTCATGTGACCCCCTCCTCTAAGGACTTTTCCCACCATCCTCCTACCAATATGGATTAGTTTGACCCCCACCAAACCCCCCTCATGCAACTATCCTGCAATTGCATTAACCCAATGTGTGTGACATTAACTCGGGGGCGGAGAGGCTGGGCAAAGTGTTCCTTCTAAGAGTTTCCTCCCATGAGCAGAATTAATTTTGTGTAGTGCACCAGTACTAAGTTCATGTGGCTTGTTTGGATGTGCCACTGTGGCACCCAAGTTATTAATAAACATCTCATAAACCTTTACCTTTTCCCTCTGCTGCCATGTCTCCTCGCCTTGCTCCATCAGCTCCCCTGGTGCCTGCTGCCCCCCCCAAACCCTGACCCCTCTCTGCTGTCCTGAC